GGGATGGGCCTTGAGTTATCGGACTTACTTTCAGTCTAAGACCATCTCTCCGAAATCCGTAGTAAGGGTACTAAATTTCGTTCTGATCGGAAAACCGGTTAAGGAAGTAGCCTATTTTTCAATCCAGGTCATAAACCATCTTTGAACAAAATTTCATTTTCAAACAGGTGGCAATTCTTAAAAAAGTAGCCTATTTTCCAGTCTAGGTCATAAGCTATCTGTGTGCAAACTTTCATGGAAATCAGTTCAGTCATTTACGCGTATTAATTTAATTAAACTTTCCTTATACGTGATAACTCTTAAAATAGTAGTCTATTTTCCAACATAGGTCATAAGCTATCTCTGTGCGAAATGTCATGCAAATCTGTTCAGTCGTTTCCGCGTATTAATTTAATTAAAACTTTTTTAACAGGTGGTAACTCTTCCAAAAAATTAGCCTATTTTCCACTGTAGGTCATAAGCTTAACTCTTAAAAAAGGTAGCCTATTTTTCAACCTAGCTCATTCGCTATCTGTGTGAAAACTTCCATGCAAATCAGTTCACTAATTTCCGCGTATTAAATAAATTAAACATTTCTAACAGGTGGCAACTCTTAAAAAGGTAGCCTACTTTCTAGCCTAGGTCATAAGCTATCCGCGTACAAAATTTCATGCAAATCCGTTCAGTCGTTTCCGCGTGATGATTTCCCAAACATCCAAACATACAAACTTTCACATTTGTAATATTAGTAAGATTTCAGCACTACATGACTCAAACGATTCTAAGACATTTTTTTCTTTTCGGTATCTGCCATCCTTATAGCTTCCACAATATTAGCTTCAACTCTTTCACCCATAGATCGCAGTCCTTGCAAATATGCTTCATATATGTGCTCAAATCCGTATTCTCTCAAAAGTGTAGTGTTTTTGTGCCTTTTACTTGGTTCTGAAGAAATTTCATAGGAGGTATACGGTCTTCCTCGCTTTCCAGAAGATGAAGAAGCCATAGAGAAAGCTGCATCGTCTTCAGTCATGGAAACCGGCAAACTCACAGAATGCTCTCCGTCAAGACAATCGCTATTTTCTTTAAGAAATCGATCCTTTTTGCGTTGAGCCTTAATCCAACGCGTATTTCATTGCCATAACAACTTTTTTTTAGATCATTTATTACAAATTCTGCGTTGACTTCCGAAACTTGATATTTTTCCCTTAAAAATGTGGATAAGGCCGACTCATTTCTCCCGTTCTCTATATAAAAAAGCAATAGCGGACGTTTTGGAAACTTTAAAGAACTCATTGCTTCAAATTTATTGCTTCTCGAAAACAAGCTTCTTTGTTCTAAATATGTAGCTCCGAACTTTTTGAGAAAACTGCCCGTACCAGCATGCAGATGTTTCTTAACCATTGTGAATTGCAGGTACCAATACTAATTTTCCACAGTTCCAGTACCTAGCAGGTAATCGGACATATTTTTTCTCGAAAACGAGCGCCCCTTTTCTAGATGTATTCCTTACCCATTGTAATGGTTAAGAAACATCTGCATGTTGATACGGGCAGTTTACTGCGTATTCCCCAAAAGTTCGATGTGAATTGCAGGTATCAATATTAATTTTGTGCAGTTGGAGGACCTAGCAGGTAATCGTACAAACTTATATAGCATTTTCAGTTTAAATGAAACCATTTTCAAATTAAGCGAAACCTTTTTCAAATTAAATGAAACCTTTTTCATGTTAAGCGAAACCTTTTTCGAATTAAATGAAACCTTTTTCAGATTCAGTGAAACTTTATTCAAATTAATTGAGACCTTTTTCAGATTCAATGAAACTTTATTCAAATTAAATGAAACTTTTTTCAAATTAAATGAAACTTTATTCAAATGAAATGAAACTTCTTTTTTGGATTACTTTGAATTAGCTGTTACGTGTTGCTCTCTCGTACGGCCAAGGCATGTTGAATACAGTGTTGCCGTTGCGGTCCAATTGGACCAAAATCGGTAGTTTCATTTTTTAAAATAAGGTTTCGCTTAACCTGAAAAAGGTTTCATTTCATTTGAAAAAGTTTCATTTAAACTGAAAATGCTATATTTTGCGTTCAAGTATATCCTTAGGCAGCTAACTTTTATATCAAGAGTAAATTCGTATTTCTTGGTAATTCCGTATGCATGGTGTAAGGTAATTTTTTCTAAAAATTATTAGAATCTCACAAATTAAACGTCAGGTAAAAGGTGCGGTTGTCTAGTTTTCGAATATATAAATTGTTTTTTTGTTAGGTTTAAAGATTTATTATTTATAGGGTTAAAGGCCCAGTGATACTAGTAGCGGCTGAAATCCCGCATTCTCACGTAGTGTCACTTAAAACATCATAACTTCAAATGGCGCAAACTTGCGCAAACTTTTTTTTTCGTGTAGTAGGTGGATTTTTCATGAT